AGAAATTGCAATTTTGAGAGAAATTACCCGTGTATATTTCCAGAGTAACCAATTTCAATGTTTACTTCATAAGAATATCCCAAGCAAATTATAAATGTTATTACTTGTGTGTAGGATAAAACTCATATCGATTGCAATTTTATTTCATCATTTTTTTATTCCTGTTCTTTCCCTCTTCAACTCACCAATGGCCGAAATGAATAAAACCATCACCAAATACTGGTTGTTGGAGGCGGATCGCATCTGACCAAAGTTTTCCGGATTTTCTTCACGTGTCTAACACATAAATATTGCCAGTTTCCCATAGAAAGTCCTTCTGGAAGACATCTGATGGACAGATCGTCCACGTATTGCATTGCCTCAATAATCCATTCTAATCTTCTCCCTCTTCCTTGTATAATTTTTTTTTATTTACTTATACGAGCTAGATTTTTGGCACTAATTTAATAGTAGCGTACGTTATTTCCACTATTTATATTCTATATAATTTGAATGATATTTATATTTCGAAAATTACAAAGATAATGAAAACTTCTAGAACTTTTTCTTCTTAAACCTTCACAAATTTTTCTCATAAATAAAACGGAAAGAAATCGATAATTAAATTCTAAGAATTATCATAAAATAACGAAAATATTTTTTGTTTTAAAAAAGTCGACATTATTCAATAAAATAACCTGAAAAAAAAAAAACATTGTTCAAGTTAGCTTAAAAGACAAATCCCCATTTCTTTAACAAACATCCCTCTTCTTTTCTGGAAAACGAAGAATAATCACTTCCAAAAATAGGAAAATAACGACATTTATGATGTCTATAGCTTAAGAAACACGTACATATAATACTCTTCTATAGAATAATGAATCTTGTATACGGTATTTGGGAGTGGTCTTTCTCGCTAATGTTCTAGGGAGATTAAGTATAAGCAAGGATTACAGAATTATCCAAAAATTGATTAAAACTGATTAAGAGGCACGACTTATATACTAAATTAAGTAACAGAGATATTAGAATACAAAGTTAAATTTAGTCCAGGATTATTTTGTAGAATATTTTTCTTTTTATCAATTAAGAACTTTGTTTTTATCTTAACTTTTTTTTTCTGTTAGGAAAACTAAAATTGCTTTTTTTTAATTACTATTTTTAGTATACGTGCAATTTCTTTATGAGGTTTTGAAATTCATACTCGCATACCAAAACACTTTTTATATGATTTAATAAAGAGAGAAGTAGTTTAGTTTGGTAGTGGTGGGTTGTTTCTTCAAAGAAGTGATTGATTGAGAGGACTCGATTTCTTTCTTAAGAGCTACATCATTTGGTAAGTGGTCGAGAGAACGAGAACTTTTATGAAGCAGAAATTTATATTTTATTCTGTTGTTTCGCTTCTTTTAAACAAAATATTTTTACTGATTAGTTTTTCTCTTCATTTTAAAATTAATAATGGTAATGTAACATCAGTTGATTTATGTTAGCATTCCTGTTCTTCATCACTGCAGTCAGCTGTAAAGAGTTTAAAAATTTGATTTCCTGTAAAGTTACAGTTGAAAACAAAGATAAAAATCCCCAATTTTGTTTAAAATTTAATTATAAAAAAGCATTTAATAGAGTTGGAGTAAATTTTCTGAAGCTTCTTCTTTAATTTTATGACCTCGACTGCTAATCATCATCTTAAAAGTCGAGTTAAACTATTATTATTATTATCACCATCTCTTTAATTATCATTAAACAGATAAACATCATCGTAATTTAGTTAATCATTTTCGTTGTTTTATTCAACACTTTAATAATTTTAAAAAATTCAATTTTTTATATACTTTTTAACTAAGCAGAAATACAATTGAATGGCTTTCACTTATTTATATTTTATCTAGTATAAAATAAAGAAATAAATAATATAATTTATTTATTCTTATATTTCAATTCACGAATTATAATTATTATTCGTGGCTTGAATTGAATTGTCTAAATTTCCCTTAAAAATTTTTGTCGAAGTTTATTTAATAATTATAAAAAGTAATAGTTTTAATAGCTTTTTTTTAAAAAATAATCTTAAAAGCATATTTCAGTTAACTGATTTTTGAACCACCTTTCATCAAGGTCTATATAAGAAGGTCAGGACACGCGTGACCTACTTCTTGAGCCGCCATTTTGGGGGTTTTTTGAGTCGCATGTTTTAAGCAAACTTGTACGAGCAGTCAGTTTTATACGACATTAATTAAAGTAAAATTGCATAAATCCGTTGATGTCTACGCTACATTTTGCTTTCCTCCGCTTATTTACAATTTGGTGCCACACAATAACCCATTGTTTAAAGTTTTTAGTACTTATATACGTAATAATAGTCGACTCAAACAGGAACTACGTGTGGACTTTAGTCTATCGATAAGTCCCAAAACGGCCGCTGCCGCGTAGAATCACGTGTCCTGACTTTCTTATATAGACCTTGAGGGCGCTACAATATAAGCAGCGCCACCGATATCGTCGGTAGCGCCCTCTTTAGATAAATCTAGGTGACGTTATCGAACATAATAAGACGAGAATACACAGTATAATTTTTATTTATAACATTTCCTGTTGTGTATAATTGATAGTATCGAAATGAATATCAAAATGAATCGAATGAATTTAAGTGATTTTATTAATTAAATCAATTGAAGAAATTTTAAATATATGTCATTAGCTGGTTTATAGGCTATTACTGTATAAGTCCAGATCCAAACACGTTATTTATAGAAGCAGGTTTAAAGTTTTGCTCGTGTATAGTAGATGGTTGGGTGGAGAAAATTGGGTCTGATAGAAGAAGGAAAGAAAACGCAGAAAATCTTCCTAGGGGTTCTCCCTGAGAGGACTTTCTAATGGAAACCTCCCATTTTCGTGTTACAACTTAAAAAAAACACAGAAAATTCCAGTATCCAGTCCGTGCCTAAATACCACTTTTCAGCGGTTATATCCACACGGTAGATTGAGAACGGAAGAGGATATACGGGATACGCAGGATGCATCTGTATCCCTCTTCTGGGATTTTTCCGAGTAAAACAAGTAATAAAAAATTTTGTAAGACGTATTGTTTCCTTTCTGCTCCGCCCTTTAAACATTTCTAGATTCGCTATTAGTTGAGGAAGGTATTCACATAACATTTTAACATAGAGTATAAGTTGTTTTCGATCTTGATGAAGAATACTCATACTGCTTTTTATTGTGCAGAATTTAATTCTTCAGTTTTTCTTCTACACTTCCTTAAATTTGAATTGTATCGCTCAATTAATCAGAATATTTTTTGTAAAATTTTAGATTTAGAAATGGCAGAGTATTTAAACCAGGAAAATGATCTTTTAATTCTATAAGTCCAATCCTCACTCAGAGTTATTACATCCTTTGATAATTATTACATTAAACATCATGATGATTAATTATACAGATGAGAATAGAAAACTAATTACTCAGTAATATAAGTAATCGTGTTTAAGCTACTCTAATTATTTTATGATTATATTATTCATACAAATTTATTTTTTATTTTATATATTCCTTATTATTCAAATTTTATGTTATATTTATTCGAATTCAATCCCAAAGTGTCGTCGAAAAAAAAAATATATATATATATATAGAAAATTTCCATTATTAAAAGAATATTTCTATAAATAGAATAAATTTGTTTAAGTAGAATCCGAGACTAATGGCTATTACTCATACGTTCTATTCAAAAATGTATAACAGATAGGTCTATAAATAAAGTGATGTATGGGCTAATGGATCTGAAATGACAGCTGCTTTCTGAAGAAGTTATACACTGCATGATTCAATGATTAAAGTTTGATACAGTAACTAGAAGAAGAAAAATATAACGTCATATTTTTGTCAATATAAAATGAAAAATCTAAATTTAACACAATTTGAAAATCTTTCTCTATAATTTCGTACTTAAATTTTATATTTTCTCTGTAATTTTTGTACTCTTTCGATCTTTTTCAAGATTCTCTGCCTGATAGCTTATATAGAAAACTTTAACATTAATCTCTGTTACGTATCAATGTGTGGGAATTCCTTCTTTTTTTTTCTAGAATTTCTAGAAAAAAAAACAAATCTTGACAACACAATTACATTGTTTCTCGCTAGTGCAAACGATCGATGCAACATAGAAAACGTTAGACAGATGTCATTATCAAACTTTTTTCCTTCTGCTCCATCAGATCCTAAGTCATTTTAGTTTTATCCTAAAGTTTGAAATCGATTTAATACTTTTTCCTAACTAAATAGCTTACATTTTAATAAATATTAAGAGATGTCTTTAATAACACGAATCACTACAAACGTCAAATGACTGTAATATAATATCTAATGAAGTAATATTATTTTTCTATCTCTGCTCTCTGAATGTATTTACATTTAATGTATTTTTATACAACTTTTACAAAACTTTCAGAATAGAAAGAAGTCTCTGTTTTTGGCAGTTTCGTGGAAAAATTCAAGTAAAAGTACCTCTGACAGTTGGTAATTCGGTAATTTGCTCGAGTATTAGCAGAGACTATAGGCGTTACATCTCACTTTATTTGATCATTTAAAGACTTCTTCACTTCTTAAGTGTCGTTCAGCAACTGAGAATTACAATTCTGTTAGCAATTATCCCACAAAATAGCATACCTTTAAGAAAATTATTCAGAAGTCTCTAATGATTTGAATTTTATTTATATAATAGATGCACCAAAACTACAAAAAAAAAGACACAACAAGAGGGTCATCCTTTCCATTTCATGAAATTTAAACTCTGAGTGCTACCATAAGTCAGTATTAACAATTGTAAATTACTAAATTATAAAATTTTCATAAGAGAATCACTTTATTTGTATTCTGTATAAGAATACAAATAATTCGGTCTTATGAAAAATTGGTTAAATTTTCAACAGGAATTTAAAATCCATAACTTGCAGCCGGTATTAGCATAACTTACTTTGTATTAAGTTGACTTATTCGAGTATAATTTGTACAATTTTTATCGACAGTGACGTGTCTGACGGCTAGTGTATTAACTCTTTCTGCCATTTCCTGCGACCGATTTATCGCTATCATGTTTCCTCTACATGTCCGCATCACTAAACAAAGGACTAGTGCTGTCATCACAGTCATCTGGATCGTTTCCATGTTGGCTGCTATTCCTTTCCCCATCTACAGAACTCACGTGGAAAGACAGGTGAGTGTAAAGTTTCTCTATTCCATAACGTGGTGTTCTCGTAATTCCAAAAACTATTCTTCAGATCTATCATTCTCAGCACTCGTTATTCTTGCGTGATTTGTTGTCTTGACAGCATAAACACTTAACGATTTATCACTGTCCAAATTTTCTCGTCGATGAATTATAAGTTATTGATGCGAAAGTTGCCATTTTACCTGAGCGGAATTTTAATGTTATGTACAAATTCGTTTCTGTCACGCTCGCGATATTACGTAGCTTTAAATCTCTACAATTGATGTTACTGTCCTAAATGTTGGACACAATGTATGACAAAGAGCTAAACTGTTAGGATTTTCATTATTTAATTTATTATATGATATATTCCTTGAGGATTTTTGTAATTCTTACAAAAACAGTTGATTTATTTATACCAAATTCTTATATTTTTAATCACAGCAGTTGTTACTCATTAGTAATATCACTTCGGATACTCATCAGCACGTGTTACGGAAATGCTAAGTAATCATAGTCTTTCATAAATCATATTTTTTTATTAAAAAGTATGCACGAACGTTACTTATCATCATCTCCTTTTTTGTTTCTCTAATAAAGGATGCTTTTCTTCTTTCAGTGGAGCGATTTCCTGGAGATCCAATGCTCAGACGTTTGGCCCCACGAAGTGGTTTATTCGGAAGAATTAGGAAGATGTATCAAACTGGTCAAAGGAAAGAAGATCTATTACACTTTCGTCACAATAGCCCTTTTTTTCCTACCAATCGTCATCATGTCCACCACCTATTCTCTCATCGTTAGGAGACTGTGGATGAGCGAACTTCCGGGAGAGAGAAGCACTTCTAACATTAACATTCAACACAGGGCTAAGAAAAAGGTATGGATTAGTAAATGTAATGGTTTTGAGTGTATATTTTAAAACAGTGAATAAATCGCGCTTCAATGCCACGAAAGATGCGGTATGTAGCAATACCATCATATATACGTTTAGTTTACGTCTATCATGTATAATAAATTAACACGTAAGCAATTATTTCCTTCCTTTAAACTCCTTTTTTGAATGCGTAATAAGTCATAAATAAAGTTTTGAAGTTAAATAACATTATTAGAAATCAGAAAACACAAAAATCTTTAAATTTATCACTTTCTTCTATGGATAATTTTATGAATTCAGTAGCATGTCCTGAAAAATACGATTCCATTTATCTAAATCAGTAAAGAGTTAACTACCAAAAGTACCATATTATTTTCTATAAAACTTTTAGCATCCTCAGCGACCTTTAATTGACCCGAGAACACTTCTTCAAGATGATAAAATTATCTTTGATACACTTCAACTTTCCACTCCAACGTTCCTTAATGGTCGATCGAAAATTTTAGCGACGTAGGTAATGTAGAGAGAGAGAGAGAGAAAGTAAACATCGTATCAAAAGAAAATAGTAGATTAATCTCAGAATATGAATCAAAGGGATTGCTTAGAGTATTGCTACAGTATTGTGAGAAATGAAGCTGTTATTCGTTAATTCTTTATCAAACTAACAGAAACTTCGTAAATTTATACCATAGCACGAAGAACTCCTTCCGCATGAAAATGTGTTAATTAAAAGTACGTTTATTGTTAATAACATTATGAAAGCCATTTTGGACTTAATGGAAGTGTAACACTAATGTACACATGTGTAAAATGCTAAATTGTTAAATTCGATAGAACTTTATAGTCTTTATTTATTCCTTACTAAGACTAGGAAAGATAATAAAAAGGCATTCGAACTAGGAACGAACCAAAACAATGGATACTGTATCAATTCAACTTAAATATGTTAAATTTTTCATCGAAGTTACCTACGAATTTCATGTAATAATGGTTTAACAATGGCACAATCTTAGTAAAAACAAATATGAAAAACTTCTAAGAGTTTTACAGCATCAATAAATTAAATATCAAACTCAGCTTCTTTTAAAACAGTAAAACATTCAACACCTTATAACGCTGAGAAATATTTATTAACCCAAAAACGTTTTCAGCTTAATGGAATAGGCCAGTGGTTCCCAACCTTTTTTCATTAGTGTACCCCGTGACATGTCATATCTCTAGATTGTACCCCTCATTTAAGAAATTTAGTGAGTACCTGTATTGTTAATTTTACATATTGTAACTTTAATTAAATTAAAGAAAAAAAAAAGTAAATGAAAAAATGCAAAATAAATTTGTGATTGTTGCAAGGAACATACTTACCTAATAATTTTTAATACTATTAGTTTGTGATACATAATATATTATTTTTTCGGCCATAATAACTAACTTTTTTCTGTACCCCTAAACAATCTATCACGTACCCCTAGGGGTACGCGTACCACAGGTTGGGAATCGCTGCNTTTTTATAGAGCCTTATTTTATTATTTATATTAATATGGCTTCAATCTATTTATTATAGTTATTTTGTATAGTGATTGGTTAATTTATTTTACGTTTTAATTTTGAATTTGTAATGTTCGAAAGTTCCGTTTTAACGCAATTTTCAAAGTTGTTCGATAACTTATCACCTGATGATGGCCTATTCCATTAGGCTGAAAACGTTTGTGGGTAAATAAATATTTCTCAGCGTTATAAGGTGTTGAATGTTTTACTGTTTTACAGCATCTTTGCTCTTCCTGTTCTTTCGAACGGAAAGTAATAATTTAATGAAAGGGCATATTTTCATTTCTTTTGTTCTTACTTTATCAAAATGTGTGAAAATCCAATTTTGGGATTGTGTTTTACAAATCGGAAAAGAAACATTTTAAAGTTTATACTTCCGAAACGTGGAAATCAACGAGTTCAAACTTTCCACCGGAAGAGACAAATGATGTGGCTTGTTAGACGTAACTTAAGAGCAAGTAATTAACGAAAAACTTCCTAAGAAACACGTTCAATTTCACAAGAATTAGTTTTTCGGTTGATGTAACAGCAAGGAAATATGTTAGTTAATCCCTTCAAGTTTAATTTTACACATGATCGGGTTAAACAAAGTTCTTCTAGCATCTTTATTTAATTTTGTCTCTTGCAACACTTCGCGAAGTCTCCTAATTTATTAACCTTCTTTTGAAGGGTGATTTAATATTAATAAATGCTTCTTATCAATGTCTTGTACTCGACACCTCTCTGATGTCTGGTGGTTGAACGTTTCAATGACAAGAATGCTCTATATAAAGGAGAAATATCTTTGCTGTTATTGAAGAGAATTTCGGATAGAATTTCTGTTTTTTTATTAATAGAAATCTACTAAACATTGACATATTAGAAGAAGATTTAAAATGGAGACACTTCAATTGATGCAATTGATGGATAAAAAGGATCATCTCAGAAAATTTTGACTCATAAAGTAATAATATTTCTTTATCAATTAAACTGGAATATGAGAAAATTACATAAAATTGTATTTAATTAGATAAATTATAATAATTTTCAAGACATTTGCCATTCTGCTTCTTAAATCATTATACTCAGTTCTTTCACAAGTACTACATCATCTTTCTAATGGTTGGAGTGAAACAGTTGCAAGAGCTTTGTACAGTTGTCATATATTTAACTTATAATTATTTTATGAGATAGAAAATTTAAAAATTACTTAAAACTAATTGGATTATGCAGAACATTAAAAGCAAATTCGGTTTTTTTATCTATTATTCTCGGGGTATGGCTGTTTTCTCCTTTAAAAAGTGGAAGTCTATCTACTTAGTAAGTCAACAGGGAATTTTTTACATATAGTTAGTTGCTTTCTTCGTTTATTTTGCATGTCAATACCTACTTTTATAAAGTAACTTGATATATTCACTTTACTTAATTAAATTTTTTTAGTTTTAATTATCGATTTCTAAGATACTCATCTTGAGCTTCTTTCTATGCTCCTATCGCTTTTCCCTCTATATATTGTTCAGTAAGCTTTATGCAAATTTCAATTATATGTAAGAGTATACATATTGAGTTTTACATGCTCTTCTTTATCGAAATTATTTAAATATTTGTTTATGGAAGAAGTTAGCTCCAGAGACAAAATTCGACTTTATATCGATCTCGGCATCGTAAAGTGAGAAGTTGGAGAGAAGAAAAAAATCGATGAGTAAGAAATAAGAGCGTAACAAGTGTTTATGCTCTAACAAGTGAGAGAATGGACATATTTAATATTATAACTATCATTTTCCTAACTCTAATACATGAAAAAATATGAAAACCTAATTATATTATAGAATTGATCATCTCAAGCCTCGAATTAAGTATAGAATTCTGCATTTTCTCACAAAATTTACCTATTATCTTTTCTTTTTTATGAATAATATCGTATAATTAGTTTATATCTTAAATTGAATCGTAATATAGTTGTAAAAACGGGTTTTTCTATAAGATAATTGGAAAAACAGTACTTTTTTTTAACACTAAAGAATAAGCTACTTAACTAGTCTTTCAGTAAAGAAAATAATCTCTCCACATCATTAAGAGATGCGTAAGATTCTTTGAAGTTTATCAAACTATTATAAATTCCTACAGATGTATCTCGAGGAATAAATTAGCAATATTGAAATATTTTTAATAGCTCGACTCCACATTATATCATTAGTAGTCATAGACTTTGTCGTTAAGTCGAGGATGAAAATACTCAAGTCTACGTGAGAAAAAAATCGATGGGTTGACTTTCTTTACCTAATGAGGGTGACCGAATGCCAGTTTCTAGTTAGAAACTTTTTCAGCAGAATGAGAAAGAAACGTGATTCTCGTCTTTGATGATCAATTATCAAGAAAGAAGAGAGAGATTCTTATTTCTCCACGTTTAATCGCATTTTAATAGAGAACTTATTTGAAAGTAATGAAATTCCATAACGTCATTAAATTACATTAATTGAGTCAGTTGTGTAAGGTCTTATCGTTTTAAATGTTCATAAAAGGCAATCCTTTATCAATCAGAAAATCAAGAAATTCGTGGAGAAAATGAAGGGAATCGTTCTCAACTTTTGGCATCAACTGTAACTGTTTATGTAATATGTTTTGATTAAAAATTAATGGAAACTTCTACCCTCTTTAACATGTATAGATCCTCCTCCATTCATAGAATAATATAAAACATAAAATTTAGCATCCTCCAATTTGTGAAGGATGCACAATCTTTGAAAGTTTCAATTATCTTCTGATATGATGTTGCAACTAACTTAACTTCGATCAAATATTTAAACGAATTAAACAAAAATTTACAGGAAAAATCTTATAAATCACATTCTACGATCGATATTATAACCGTTTGTTTCCATCCTTCCGTTTCAAATCTGTCTCGACAGACTATTTATCATAGAAAATAAGTGGAACAGCATTTAACTTCAAGTTTTTCTTAACTTGCTAGCAAAATTAATGTATATTCAACCATTAAATGCAGGTATCTCTTTAACTATTTACTTGGTGAAGTATTTTTTTACATATGCTAACTTGCCCTCATTTAAAAAGTTTTACATACTTCCTGTTTATAATTTAATAAGCTAAAACCTATATAAATCATGGTATAAATCTATAAAAGTACAGTAGTGTATAAAACACTTTTATCTATTTTTATCTACACATAATTTAAATTAATTGCAAACTTGAAAGAGTAAATCAATTTATCTTCTTCATTACTACTCACTTGTTACATAGTTTCGCATGATGAAGTTGGCTAATTTGAATATGCTAATTTTATCTACATACTGCTGCAATACTGATAAAGATAATGAACAGTTCTCTTGGGAATATTAGTTGTAATGAGTATCACATCTCATATGACTGGTAAATAAACGATAATTTATACAAAACATTTTTAAAATTCAAAATATTTTTCTCTCGAAAACAGACTTAGAATATTAATTTATAATCTTCCA